GGCCGGACGGCCGCCGTCGACGACGCGCCGCGACGGCCGGCGCCCGCGGACGACGCCGGGGCCGACGGCGCCGAGGGCGCCGCGCCGCCGCCGCCGCCCGACGACGACGACGGCTTCGTCCTCGTCGAGCCGCCGACGCCGCCGTCGCCGAGCGCCTCGCTCGGGAGCTTCGGGGACGAGGGCGAGCTCGTCGATCCGACTTAGTCGCTATCGGAGTCGTGGCCGTCGAGCGCGAGCTTCTGGCCCCGGAGCGAGTGGAAGACGGGGATGAGCACGACGCCCATCAGGCACGTGTGGTAGTGCTCGCAGATGAGCCTGATGCCCTCGCCCTCCTCGAGGCGCAGCAGCCAGGCGACGACGCCGACGACCACGAGGGCGACGAACGCGTAGACCGCCAAGGGCCGCTGGTCCTCGTAGTCGACGCCGCCGTCGTCCGCGGCGCCGCCGTCGTCCGCGGCGCCGCCGGCGTCGCCGGCGCCGCCGTAGCCGAGCGCGCGCCGCAGCTCGCCGCAGCGCCGCCGCGCGACCTCGCTCGAGCAGCCGCTGCCGACGAAGATGTCCTCGACCTCGTCGGTCTCGAACTCGCGCGACTCGCAGGCGATCTCCAGCGCGCCGATCATCATCTCCTTGGTCTCCGCGTCGAGGTCGTCGAGGAATGGGTCGGCGGTTCGTCTGATGTAGTCGGCCATTTGTTATGTTTCAGGCGTTGAGCAGGGCGCTCTCACGCGTCAATCGCGGTCATGCTCGACACGAGTCTTTGGCCTGGAGTCGCTTACTGCTAGCCAGGGCCTAGCCGAGACCCACGGGGAACCGGACTCTCGCTGGGAGGAGCGCCTAGGCGCGTCACGTCCGGGGTGAGGGACCCCAAAGAGCGCGCTGGTCCAGCGCTCTCGCTGCCTCGTGGCCGAGTGACGCCGGGTAAGCCTCCGGACCTGCCGCGTCCCCCCGCTCGGTCGACCGAACGGGGTTTCGCGGCCAGGGCAGCAGGCGGGGCTGCTGACCCCAGTCCGGCGGGGAGCCCAACGCCCGGAGCCTCTCGGGACGTCGCGCACTCTGCCCAGACCCGAAGGCCAACCTCAGGGCAGGCGACGTGAGCTTGCGCGTCGTGGAGTGACGACGCGCGTAGATTTGCGGAAACTCTTTTTCGAGAAACCGCGCGGAAAAGACCTCTCACGAGGGAAAACGCAGAGGAGAGCCTCCTCGGGGCGTGTACCGTTGAGCCAGGCGAGGCATCGCTTGCGCGTCCGCTGACCGCGCGCATGCGCACTGCATCGCCATGCAGTGCGCGCATGCGCAGCACTCGACCTAGTGAAGTCCGATGCTCAGGTTTTAAACCCAGGTCTTTTGGTCTGATTCCCAGGTTTGATGCTTTTCCAGGTCTTTTTGAGTATGAAACCCAGGTCTTTTGGAGGTCCATTTTTTTTATTATCCCCCCTATATAAATTACAGATATGTTTGCCGCTTGACGACAGGATGCCCCAACCCGTTTGTCCGCAGGAGTGCGCATGCGACGTCTGGGCTGCCCCGACGCCGCCAGAACCGCTATCGGGGCCCATCCCGGGCCAAGGAAGTGCACTGGAGCACGCCAGTGAGTTGCGCCGGCGCTGCCCCATCCTTTTGGCGGAGTACATTCGGTCGATCACTGCGGCTGCGGGCTGCGCGCGCGCCCACTCGATTTCGGGATCCCGTCTATTACCGTCACAGTTTCACCCACTGAGCTAAAATGGCCTTCCCTATGCCGTTCTGTGTCTGATTGTAGGTTCGAATGCCCGCGCGCGCGCGCGCGCGGCGGCGGCGGCGGCGGCGGCGGCGGCGGCGGCGGCGGCGGCGGCGGCGGCGGC